TGCCCAAGTCTACATATTGGTACTTCCTCCTTCAGAGTAGGAATGTAACTTACATATATTGAGTGAAAAGAACATGTAAGAATCATTCCTATTTTATTTTCTTCTTTAAGTTTTTGAGTATATATTATAATCATAACATTTCTACCTTCATGATTTCCCAAAACCCACTTTCCTCTTCTTCAAATTTGTGGACTCTGTTTTTGCTCATTGTTGTTGCACGCGCGCGCACACACACACACACACACACACACACACACACATTTTGCCTTGTTTCAAACATAACAACATGTAACAACATTATTATAAGTAATTTACTTTCTCAGTCTTCTAATGAAATAATCAATTATCCTTCTTTCCTTTTATGGATTAAGTGATTCTTCTTCAAAGCATTGGTCATTAACTGATGGCTTACAGGATGAGTGCTCAATCCCCTATGAATATTAACAGTGGGAGGGTAAGAATTTGTTAATCATGTTCAGAAAATTTTTTCTCTAGCAAGAAAACTATTTCATGGAGTAGGAAAGCAGAGTAATAAATGTTTGTTGAATAAATTAATTAAAGCATACCTACATAAGTACACACAGAGCTTTTAATAGAATGAGCAAGTTAGATAATTAATTTTAACCTTGTATTATTTTTTCATTTTCATAAAAGATATTAATCATATCCTATATGGCACTTGACTGGCCTTAGAAAATCTGGAAAGAGATGTTTAGAAAGGCCAATGAGGACCAGATCACAAGGGGCTTTGATATCCCTGTGTCCTCCTCTGAGGAGCTCTGGTCATATCCAGAAAGCAATGGCACATCTCAGCTAGTTTTGAACAGTAGATAAGGATGAAACAGGATTCTGCACTGGAAAATGCTCTATAGATGATGAATTGAGTAATAGCAGGATTTGCTTCATTCCTCTAGATAAAATCTGAGCAAGTTTTGAAAGAAAGTAGCGGTAGTGGAAACACGTGGTGAGTTGTGCAAAATGCAATCCAATGTATTTAGGACCACAGAACATTTATTATTTTTATAGAATGTCAGGTACACAGCACACCAGATATATTTTGAAGACACAAGGGATAAATAGTAGATGTACTCAAATTTAGTCAATATTTAGACAAACAAAATCTGAGATAGGTGCTGCCACACAGGAGTTCAATGTTGAGATTATACAATGAATTAATAATAACTCATCCACTGATGTCACCTAAACTCCAGCTTTTCTTTTCACACATTGTGTTTCCACCTCACATATCTTTTCAAGAAAATCTATCAATTGTATAAGTTAATAAATTAATATAAATCACTGGATATCTTTTAAATACATTCCTATTCTATTCATACACTTTCAATAAATATAAGTTAGTGTCATTCTTATTTTTGGTCCTTTTAAATCCTTTTATTAAAGTTGACTTTGGGTCTCTTTAAATATAAAGACCATTGTTTTTCTTACTCTGAATAAATGTTAAGCATGCACGGTGGATGCATCCAACCAAGAAAACATCTAAGGCCATCATTATGACAAAAATCATAGCTGTGGAAATACTGAACCCCAAACTTAAAAGACTATAAGCAAAGAAATTCAGTTCTCTGTAAACCCAATCGTTAAAGCCTCCAGCATTTCTGAAAACCTAGCTATTACCAGCAAACAAGCTTTTAACTAAGAAATCAGCATTCTTCTGGTTCATTTAGTGGTCTGTTACTCATGTATCTTCTATACTTAATAGAGCATTACAGATCTTCTCAAACCTCAAGACCAAAGAACATTACAGGCCTAATTTTCAAATGGACATTTTGAGAACAAAGAAGGGCTTTTCTTTTTCTTTCTATCTTTTTTTTTTCCCATTCCTTTTAATTAAGGGACCACAGTTAAGAAAGAGTTTAAGTAAATCCAACTGAGGAGAGAAAAAAATCTTTATGCTTCAGAGATTAGCTCCATTCATGGGGAAATTTATTTCAAAAGAGATGAAATGAAAGCCATAGTTTGAGTCAGCTAAGAGACTGTGCTACCCTAAATTCATCTTATTTTGGTTGATTTCCTTTGGTATCTTCTTAAAAATTCAATCAAATTGAATGAATCAAAATGAACAAGTCTTTCTAGCTGGAGTCCAGACGGGGTCATTCTGAAAGAGAAGTTTCCTAGAAATGTCTAAGCATTTCAATGTCCATATCTTTGTTCAAAATTAAAAGTTTGCTAGTGTGAATATGCCAAAGGCTTTTATTCTCATTTGCGTATGTTGTGAACAGCAGGCGTCTTTATTTTTGTCATGTTTCTCTATGAAAAGAACAATGTCTATCTTTTATGGTTTGAGAAGACTTCACTAGCTTAACCACAGGCCTACGCTGAGTCAGTATGTTAAGAAATAAATGCACAGAGATGTTGTTTCTGAATCCTAAATCCTAGGCTATACATCTTGCTGGGACTCTGTATCTGGGGCCTTTGTGTTGGGTAGACAGTAGACATTTTGAAAAACACTGTCCTACCTGGAGTCATAAGGAAAGAACACATCTGTCTGTGTCTGGCTTTTCCAACCTGACTACCTGTGTAAAACTGGCCCAAAATAATAGAGAAGATTACCAGTCTCTGCCCAGTTCTGCATTTAGAAGATGACAACCAGACATGATGTGTTAATTCTCTCAGATGCTTCTCCAGGGAAGTACTTTCCTGTAATTTTATTTTGTCCTTGTCAAGTCAACCCAACTCCAAAGAGGATTGCTTTACTGAGTTACTGCCTTATATTTTAAATTTAAGAATAATATTATACTTTGGATAGAGGTAGTACTAAAGCCTTTAAAGATACAGACACATGTCCAGCCTACTCAGGATCCCAGAACTCAATAAAGTCAAAAAGCGCATCTAAGTCCCCATATTAGGAGAGAACTTAAGACACATTTTTTTTCTCTATCTACCTGAGATCAGGTTTTCACGAACTATTGCGAATTTTATGAAAAGAGAAAGAAATTTAAATTTTGTTTCTTCTACAAAATAGGTTTGTTGAAAAAAAAATTTTTAAGTTTGTGCCAAGAACTTGACTCTACAGAAAAAAGAAAGGAGACTAACAGATAGACAGTCAGCTGATACAAAATTCTTCCACTCTAGTCTTACTGGCTTCAGGCTCTTTGGACAGGTCTTCAGTGACAGGACAATAAAACAGGAAGCAAGTTCATTAAATCTGTTCCATGAAAACACCGTACTACAAAGACATGCTTCCTTTTATTTTAGGTTCATACACAGTGGGTTCTGGATGAGTGTAGTTTTGACCACACAGCACTTGATGATAACAATGTTTACACTGATGGGGAGAAGTGGACACAAGCAATCATCTCTAACCAAAAAGCTATCTCCAACTGGCAACCATTTATAAAGGAAAAAAAAAAATAGCTTTTCCAATGGAGTCTCAGTGGGTCTACACATAAGGGCAAGCCCAATACCCAGAAGAAGACAGCCACCAGAAAACAAATTCAATTTGGGAAGGGTTTTGTTTTGTTTGGGTTTTTATTTTATTTTTTCATCTCATAATGTTTTGTCCGTGTATGTCTTTTTTTTTTTTTTTTTTTTTTTTTTTTTTTTTTTTTTTTTTTTTTTTACCTTACTGGTCTTTTGCTTATCTAATATTGTTCACAGTGTTTTTATTTATCTATTTTATGTGTGCATTTGTATATGTGTTTCTTATACTTTTACTTTCTTTCTGTTTTTATATTTTTTTTACTGTTTGTTATATTCTATTTGTCATTGTTGTTTTAGTTTACCTGCTTGTTTCCTAAAGAGTGAGAGAGAAAAAAGAAGGCATGTTCAGCATGGGGAGTTAGAAAGAATCTAGAAAAATGAAGGAGGGGAAAACATGATCAGAATATACTCTGAAAAAAAAAAACTATTTTCAATTAAAAAAATCAGACCAACAAATGACATGAAGTATGTATGTGTAGGTTGGTCATTCCTAGGAGAAAATTGAGGTATGGGAGTGAATATAATCAAAATACATTGCACAGAACTCTCTAAGAATAAAAATATCTAGGAATAAAACATAAATTATTTATGGTTGTGAGCCTACCCTCCAAATGCATCCCTAGTAAGGGGATCAGGTGCTTTTCCTGGCATGAACTCAGTGGCAGGCTCTCTGATCACCTCCCCCTGAGGGATACAGCCTCTCCAGGCTACAGAGGAAGACAATGCAGATGGTCCTGATGAGACCTGATAAGCCAGGGACAGATGGAAGGGGAGGAGAACCTCCCGTAACAGTGGACTGGGAGAGGGACATAAGGGGGAAGAAGGAAGGAGGATGGGATTGGGAGGGAATGATGGAGGGGAACACAGCCAGGATACAAATTGAATAAATTGTAATAAATGATAATAATAAAAAACAATAAATAAATAAATTAAACATAAAAAAAGAAAACAACAACAACAACAAAAGCTTTAATGTCCAGTGGGTACGAAAGGTTGTTTTTCTTAGTAGCATTTCCCACTATTTCCTTTTTGTGAACAACTGTGCATCCCATCCATATGGGACAATGAAATTGGTCATTACTGAAACATAAAGTCAATACCTATTTCTCAAACACATTGGATTAAGGACACAATGACTTCTATTTTAAAATGTTTTTTTTTTTTTTTTCCAGAATGTTTTAAATGTATTGATCTCGGTGTTAGAATATCTCACCACTTTCATTTAAGAACTCAGCAGTGACTACTGAGATTTTTCCCGAGTTCCTTCAGGAATGGAGTCCCACTGCACAGAATTGAAGAAAACAGCAGGGATGGTGACACCAACAGCATCCAAACAGGTGTGGGATCTACCTGCATTTTATGATACGGGCTTAGTAATCCATTGCAAGCGGATGCTACCGTAAGACAAACTGGGAAATCCTATGATCATACAAGTGAAACACTACAAGCTAGGGCCACGTTGAGGTGTTCGTGCACCTTTATGTGTTTTATAAGAGATATGATTTCCATAAGAATTAACACCCTGATGCCATTTGCATTGTTTTATTTTGCTATTAGCTTGTTATTCATAACATGCAAATAATCAAAAAGAAACATACATATGACAGAGAAAAATGACCCAAGAAAAGTTTCATTAAGTAACTATGCAAATCCTTACTACTAAATACATTTCTTTAGGTGGATGTGTCTTCATAAATTTCCTTTGGTATATTGCAAAATTACTAGTCTCAAAATACAGACTCTATATTTTAGTAAAACTAATTTAACATGTCAAAATAATTTGGATTAGGATAACAAACTTTCATGCATATTTATTTCATGTTTTTTCAAGTCATTCAATTAAAAATTAGGGACCATAAAAACTTGGCTGATTTCCATGCAATCAATAAAAAGCCTTCATGTCTTTTGAACATAGAGCTGTAGAAAACACTAAATTTACAAACAAAGACTTAAGTTTAATGTGTTTTTGTGTGTCTCTTCTCACGATGAAATAGGCCTGCTTTTCATCTTTTATTTTAAAAGTGGCAAATGTTCACAAAACATTTCCTTCATTAATTAAAATCCATGAAGTAATAACAACAGCAACAACAACAAAACAATACTTTGAAAACTTTACACACATCCCCCAAATACCTAACCATGAAGTGCTGCTCCAGAACATACTTCAACCTATTGGAATGGGAAGATGTTAATTAACAGTGATTTCACTCGCTACACGTAGACACTCATACATGTCAGGAGGCAGACTGCTTTGGGTGAGGGGATTACCATCCAGGCGCAGATGCTTGATCTTGGAGTAAGACAGTGGCCCCAAGATCTTACAGAAGCTCTTGACATCAAACTCTGCAAAGGCAAGAATGGAAAAGTCCAGTCATCTTTCATTGTGCTATCTTGAAATGATCGTTGAAAAGAAGATCCCATGACTCTTATTTGTTATCAGGTAGCCTGTTCCATGTAGAAAGTCATCTTTACTATGTGCTTTTGAGATAAAAACCACTGAGCTTCTATTTCATGCTACCAAGTCAGCCCAGTACACTAACTAGGGTAAATCAGGGATCTCAATGACATTTCTCAAAAAATAGAATTTTTTAATTTTGATAGTAAGGGTTAGAATGGCATTCAACTAATATGAGGTATTTAGACTTACCTGAAGAAATATGGATTGTATGAATAACCAGATCAATGAAAAACTCATCTTTTGTTTTTCCAGATGAAAATGACAGACTTGATCACTAAAGAATTTTCTGTTAACCATACATTCTGCCAGGGAATCAAAACTCTAAGGCCTAAACCAAATCATTGAATGTGTAGCCAGTGTTCCTTGGTGGTTGAGAAGCTGCCATGGACAAAAACAACAAAACAACAACAAAAAACTAGTCTAGTTTTTAATAGAACCTAAGATCTTAACTAGAACTATGTTTTCCCAGGTCAGTTTGTCACTTCTCTGGTCCTTGGATAGCTATTTTTATTCTCAAACTCTAGCTAGCAGTGAAGAGTAAAACTCATGCACACTGTTCTCCATTCTCCTTTGATGCTTATTTGAACAACATTTCAGTGTAACCCATGGTCTTTCTATAATGCCCATCACTGGGAAAGTATGTTACAAAGAAAGAAGATGGCTTTAGGTCTGTGCTTGTTGTCTCGCTCTGCTACTTAGTTGGGAACTTGCAGCTCTCAGCTGCTACCTCTGTCTAATATACTATATTGTTTTCAACAAGTTACATTAAATCTACTAAATTGTTCAAAGCGCACTTCACTTGAAGAAGTTAAAGACTGATTTAATCTTTAATATGTTCATTTAGACTAAGATAAGCACAGTTAATAAATGTAATCATTAGTTAGGAAAATTGAAGAACATGAGTTGTCACATAGAGAACTTTAAAATAAAAGCGATTGTGCTAATAGAATTGTTATAGCCTGAACTATCTATCATGTGACAGTGAAACAGTTCCAAACCTTGCTTTGATGACTTTAAAAATGAAGTAGAGAGCATGGTGTTTATGTTAGGAATCACATTCTTCTTCATGACAATTGCGAGTTAGATACTACAAGAAATTAAAGAAACATTGCAAAGTAGCCACAATGTCCGATATAACTTTCCTGATAGCAACATATTGATCTTTTCACTAGACAAAAAAGTTCAGTTTCAATAGGCTATAGTTGCTTTTTATGTGAAATGGTGTTTTCCACCCGAATTTTTTATATATTGGTGAAGTGACACGTTTCTGTACCAAACTCTACTTACTAAATGGTAAAAGTTGTGATGGAATAGTTTTATTTCCTTTCTGATTTCACATCGTCTAAACTGAGTATATCATGTACAGCTCCATCATTCAGGTAAATAAAAATAAAATACTGAAGCACATGAAGAGGTGTGACTGTGCAAAAAGGGAAGGACTGTTCAAAAAGACTCTAGAAGAACCCCATTAACAGCTTTCCTTCTTTAATCTTCCTTTAGATCCTTTTGAAAATGCTATGAAGGGTACATTCACCATGCCAGATGAGAGGGGTGGTGCTGGCTTTATAAACTGGGTAACACACTGAACCTCAAGATGTTAGGGAAGACAGGATGAGATGACGTGTGTGCTCTGAGTCAGACAATGGGGGTGGGGCGGGGTGCTTAAGAAAGCCTGTGCTTTCTGCATCTCCTCTGAACTTTTTCTTTCTTTCCTTCGCTGGATCTTGCCAATGAATAAAAGCAGCACACCATCTTATGTAAGGAAAAAAAAAACTAAGCAGTAACAGAAGATTAAAGTTATCAGCATCAATTAGCCTCAAATAATCAATCCAGAGAAATTTAATGTAAAATTGTATGGCTTTAACTGCTCTTGGTCTTGCCCCTCTAAGGAAGGGCTAGCAAGGATTCGGTGTGTGACTGAGCTAGCATTCCGTATTTGAATTTGGTTGTTTTCTTTTAATCCTTTCTTATTACGTTGTGCAGCTTAGGTATTTTAACACCGTATCTGTCAATCAAACAAGGGGGCAGCTTTATACTTACTTTGGAGCTCATTGACCTCCAGGTAATAGTTTTCAAGGTTTTCATTAACAGTCGGAATGCTTTTCAGCTTATTGTAGGAGAGGTCCAGCTCGAGCAGGGATGAGATATTGAAGGAGTTTCCGGGTACCCCACTATCAGCCAGTTCGTTGTGAGATAACCGCAGGTACTGCAGCGCAGTGAAACGTTTAAAATACTCATCCGGGATGTTGCTGATCTTATTATTGTCCAGGTAGAGTGTCAGAAGAGATGTTGGGAGACCAGAAGGCAGCTTGCTCATCTGATTGAAGCTCAAGTCAAGGTACTCTAGCGATTTGAGGCCTTTCAGAGAAGCCGACACAGCGTCCTCTTTGAGCTGGTTGTGTTGAAGGTAAATAAAGGTCAGGTTTACCAGCCCTTCGAAGGAGCCGAGCTTGCTGATTTTATTATGGGCAAGCTGTAGGTCTTGCAGGGACTTTGGAAGTGGACCGACGGACTCTGTCAGGTTGTTGAAGTTTATATGCAGTTTCTTCAGTTGTTTCAGCTTAGAGAAAACTTTCCCTTTTATCTTGGAGTTTTCTAGAAGGTTGTGATCAAGAATAAGCCACTGCAGATCAGTTACATTCTCAAAAGCCTTCTCATCAATATGGTCAATCTGGTTATTCCTCAGGTAAAGGTACTTAATACCAGGAGGCACCATGGGCACACTTTTCAACTTCAGGTCATCACAGTACATAGCGGTGGGGTAGCTTTGTGGACAGTTACATTCAGGTGCACAGTTGGGTGAAAGTTGCCCATACATCAAGAGTGGGATATCATAATCATAGTATTGGCCACTGACACTACCAACTAATGCCAAGACAAGAGCAGATGTACATAGGTTCATTTTCAGCAACTGCTTTGAATCCTAAATAAAGCAGAAACAAATCATTAAAAAATAATATACTTTCAGGAAAATGTTCAATTTACATTAAATTCCTCAACGAAGTGTGTTTTGCTATTTCATTTTCAGAACCCTGAAAAATAGTGTCTTCGCTGTTATTTGAATTTTTATGTTTAAGCATTAGGAGAAGAGTGCGTCTAATTTACACCTTTGGGTTGAAACAGGTTTCAGGTGTATACACCTGCGCCCCCTCCTGGGGAGGGGTTGACAGAAATGTAATAGTCCTTGTCTTCTCATACTCCCTTAAGTGATATTTCCTGCTGGCACCCATCTCCCACAGTGTCAGAACCCTCCTTTAGAACATCCCCTAGGCCAGGAGGAATGACAATTAGAGGACTACTGTAAATTCTTCTGTGCACTCTACCGTCAACATGATTAGAATGTCTCATCAGAAAGATCCTAACTGGGAACAGGGCAATCTATGGTTTTTCCCTGAGGAGAGCTGCCCTGGCTATATGGGAGGTAGAAGAGACATCAACTGCATTCCTCCCAAAGGACCTTGTTATCACTGTGGACTTTTCACTGAGGAAGGAGGTTGACTTCTTAGATGGATGTTTACCTTACTTGAAGCCTAACATTCCACGCTTTAAAATCCGCTGAAAAACTGTACTCTGAAGCTAATATTTAGCAAATTAATTTTGGAAGAACAAATGTTTACCCAAAAGGGAAAAGCTACACAGTGTTGGCTTTTAAATCCAAACAGAAAAGGAGACCTGTTATAGAAAAATAACTTTTTTACAACTTTAAAAAATGCTCTTCTCTCCCTTTTTAATACAGTATAATTTCATCTTCTTTGTATCAAAGTGTAAGGTGGCATGATTTTCTAATCCAAATTTTAGTGTCCCCACAAAGTGGAAGCAGGAGAGAAGAGAGAATGAAGGAGAGAAAAACAACAACAATAAAATAATAGCGATGATGGCATCATGAACTGTATGCAGGGTATTAAGCTGAATATATAAATGCAAAATATTTCCTGGTATTTATTTTCACATAACATGTTTCTAAAGGGAGGAGTAATGATGTTTCAGAGAAATTTCAGAGAAAAGCTAGCAACTTACACAAAAGAAAGCTAGAATATAAGATCTGGGATTCATAGAATACATTATTTTAAAAAGCTGGTATTCCTGTAAGAAAAATAATATGAAAAGAATTCAAATTCAAATACTCAGTGCATTGCACAATAGTTATGTAAATAGTATGAGACATGCATTTGCAGCAGGTAGTTTGGAGCAAGTAGAAGTTGAGAGACCATGCGTTTTAAATATATATGTTTTGCTTTAGTGTATAATCATAACAGACTTCATGAAATGAAACACTGAAAGTTTTTATGAAAGAAACACTTAAAATTCTAGCATCAGATATAGTCACAGTGGTCATCAATACTACCCCACCCCAAACCCATGATTCTCTTGGAAGGTGTTAAGTTAGCGGACAGGATTTGCCCATAGACAAGTACCAGCAGCACAGAATTCTTCATAGGGTTCTGTACATTAATGGTCCATAATGGATTATTGATTCATTAATAACTTTTAGCTTTTTTAAATGGAATATGGAAAGCAGCTAAAAGTTCTTTCATAGTTTTGGCAAAGTAAAAGTTTACACTGAATTCAAAGTGTACTTGTAGATACACAATGCCTCCAGTGTGAGGGAAAGTCACACTGTATTTTTGCCCATACTTTTCAAGAACCAGTGTCCATGGAAGAAATGCTTTTTTGAAAAAAAAAAGAAAAGAAAAGAAAAGTAAATTGTTTCCCAGAATTTCTTTAAAACATGCTTCTTAATGTATACAGCTCAAACCACAAATCTTTAAAATGAGCAAAACCTGAAGAAGCAATCCACACAAGGATCTGAGTCCTTCAGCTAACATTTTATATTGCAGAATGTTTATTGCAACCTGTAACAACATATTTTATTGCAAAATCTGTTGAGTGCAGGGGACAGTGGCCTTTCTCTGCTCCAACATTAGCTTTCAACAGTTTAAGCATATGTAGCCAGTTAGCATAGATGGTTAGCATTTTAATTTCTGTACTCTCTGAATGTCTAGTTCAAATATATTTTCATTGTGACCTTGGAACACTTTAAATCCCCCTTTGCCAATCAATCCAGAACACACTGTGAAATTACCCATAAATGATGGAAAGCATATTAGGTAAAACATGAAAATAAATGTTCAAAACTGTCATTGAATAGCAAACTGGCAAAATTCCTCTAGATTTTTTTTCCCTGTTCCTGTTAAAATAAAACGCTGTCCCAAAGAATGGGCATTCCCCTGGGCTATAGTTAAAACTGCACTTACCTTATTCTCTTGACACTGCTTCCGTTAATTCCTTAAACAGACGCACGGTGAACAAGGACCCACTAATATATGCCGTGAACTCTGTCAGGGTGGAACTGGCCGCCAGACTCTCAGTGATACAAGAGCCGAGGAGGGTGGGGGGACCAGCCCAATCACGCCATTCTCTGGATGAAGTTATGTCACTGTGGGCTCTTGTGGAGTTGCATGTGAACACGCTGCTGCTCTCTAACAAAGTGCAGGTGGACAGAACAGCCCCTTCCCTATGGAATGGAGGAGGGGGAGACCTGTTTTACTGGATCAGACCTCCTAAGGATCGAGCCTGCTGCAAAGGAGGCAGATTGGTGTGAGAATGTTTCCCCTACAAACTTCTGAACTTCTACGTGTGTGGTGGCAGCTAAGTGAGATCTGTTCAGCCAGCTATTGTGCTCATGTAAATATCTCATAAATCACAAACAGAGCAAAGACTCTCAGGAAAATGCAAATTATCAAAGTCAAAAGAACAGAGTCTCTTTTGCCTATCCCTTTCAGATATTATATTTGATTCTCCGGGAGCAGTTTGCTTATTGTCCTAATGATAAGTTCATGTTTGTGCTATGAAGTGTGCTTCATATACGCTTTGATACAGATCATAGTCTGAACATTTCATTTCACTTTTCGTGTTGAAGAAACTCTTTGTGTTCCTCAGATCTGGAAACACTCAGCAATGTCTGAACTGTTTCTCATTTGTGGATTTCCCTTAGGAACTCACTCCAAACCCTACTTTCAAATAATATTCTATAGCTCAAAGCCAAAAAAACAGAACAAAGAAAACATAAATATCTCCTAAAAATATCACAAGTCACTAATCTTTCATTCTGTCACCACACACTTCTGACTTTTTTTCCAAAGTGGAAATAACCCAACGTTGTGGTCTCTTCAAAGGCCTGACTTCATAGATCCTTCCAAGTCATGTTCTGGTGCATACTTTATAGGAAAGGCGCAATTTACTCCCTTACCTCCTTAATTCCTTAGATTAGTTGTATTTGTAGGGTCATTTTTCATTAAAAAATAATCCATTTTTTCATACTTATGAAAACTTTTAGATGTTCCAAAATAGGTTGCTGCAATATAATTATTTTTCTTTAAAAATAACTTGATACACTGCTCAGTTGGTGTAGTGTTTGCAAAGCCCTTATAAAGCCCCACAATCACGTAAACCAGATGTGAAGATGCACAGCGTAATGGTAATCCCTGCACTCCAAAGGTGGAGGCAGACAGATCCCGAATTCAAGGTCATACTCAGCTACATAGTGCATTTGAGTCCTGCCTGGGACTCATGAGAGTCCCATCTCAGCATAACAAAACACAAAATATGAAGACATAATATTTTTTCACATTTTAGTAGTGAGACCCAAGAGAAGCTAATTCCATGACCACACTACCTTATTTCCCTGGGAACAACACTAGAATAAATGCTGTATGTTCACAACAACAGTTAAAAGACAAAACTCATGCTTTGTCCTTACATGTAACAGGCAGAATCGAAAGATTTATAAGTGTGGTGTATTGCTATCACTATCACTATTAATAACATCAATAGTACTAATTGTTATTATTTATAAGACTATTGTGGGGAAGTATGTTTAGAATAAAGGAAATGCATAAGTTATTAGGAAAAAGACAAATACATCAAATAGAATTAAATGGCCTTGCAATGAAATATTTGACAAATGTAAACAGTAGTTGTAAGTACCTCAGATTTTAAAATCTTGGATCTTCTTTGAAAAATATCATGTACTTATGCCTTAAGACTTTTCTTTATAAACCAAGGAGAGTATTTTTATTTTTAATAGATTTTAAATGGAATATTAGATTTAGATCTGCAAAGTTAATATGATCAATGCACACCTTTTAATAAAATTGTTCATATGGGCACAATTAATTTAATGATTGCATTTTAATATTTAACTAATTGTCACACTTACAGGTTTATTATGATAATTTCACACATGCACACTCTGAACTTGACCTATATTCATTCTCCATTACTCTTCCTCTTCCCAATGACCACATTTCTTTCTAAAAATAATCTTCATTCAATTTCATGTTATATATGCACTATCTAAATATATGTCACATATTTTTAAAAGTTCTAATCCCAAATGTGAAAGAATATAGTACCTGCCTTTTGACTGTAGCTTATTTCACGTAACACAATCATCTCTAATTCCATTCAAATTTCTGAAAATGACATCATAGCTCCATCATGAGGCACTGCAGCAACTGCCCATCAGAACGCTGAGGTGAGGCACGGCCTCTCCACCCTGCCAAGTAGAGGTTCACAGGATGTGTGACAGTGCGTGATGAAGGCTAAATGGATTTCATCTGAACACGGGCTGACAGACTGAGCGACCCTCTGCTTCCTGGTCACCAGATCCCCTGTACCCCAAGACCAGCAAGTATTCTGAGGAAGGTGGAGAAACTATTACATTGGTTCTGGACTCTAAGCCCCAGGGTCAACCCAGTCAGGTTACTCTTTTTTTTTTTTTTTTTTTTTTCATAAAAGTTCCAGTGAGAAATCCTGCTGCTTGCCCAAAGCTAGCTGTTGAACTGAAAAGGCAGTTCTAAAAGACTTTAGTAGAAAAACAGATAAACAAACAAAAACCTCATCCTCATAAATTTACTTTAAGAAAAATCAACAGACGCGCACAAACACTCACACCCTCTGTACACGCCAGGCTTATACTAGTTTGGCAAAGGATGGGTTCTGCATGGAAAATTACTCTTGCACCTACCCTTCACCTGGTCCAGCCTTTTGATGTCTCTGTACCACCTTTTCCTGTTTAGACTGATTTTCTATATTTTGCCAAAACCAGATCAAGTAATAGGGCAGCTCAATTAAACCTGTGAGACATTTTAGAAGGTGGACAGAGGTTTTAAGGACTCTGTGGCAGAAAAGTTAGCTATAATCGACCAAAATGAGGTGGTTAATAAGCTGTGCACTCCCCACGGTTGGTTTCCATAATCATTGTACCTATCTGAGCATCCAAAATTTTGATTGGAAATTCATATTTTGTCAAAAACTGTCATTTTGTTTTGTTTTGAAAGATAAACTTGGTTTTTTGAGAATGTTTTTGTCAGAATACTATTCTAATATGTGCTTGTGTGTATGGTGTGTGTGTGTGTGTGTGTGTGTGTAAAACACTTTTAATTAATGATGGAGTGACAACTCAGGCCTGATAGATGACTTGGGGCTGGTTACCTCACTATTAGGGAAGCTTACTTAAAAAGTAACCAGTTCAAGGCCAACCTGCACAGTAAAGTAAGTTGAAGATCAGCCTAAACAAATTAATAAAACACTGTCTCAGAATATAATCCAAAAACAGAGTTTAGCATATAGCTTAAAAATAAAGGGCTTGCTGACTAATGACAAAGCTTTCTTTGTGATTTAAGCATGTGGGTGCATGTAAACTTCTTGAGAAAATTTTACAGAGTAGGTGCTGCTGTTACACAGGCCCTTCACCTCAGCATGTTTGAAAGACACAGAAGGCAGCCCACAGAAGCACTGGTACAGCAGATTACCTGAAGTGAAATCTTCATTATCTCTTCTGACCTTTGATTTGAAGGATTCTCTCTGCGTCTGTCTCTTCTGTCTTATCTCTGTCTCTCCTCTCTGACTCTCTTTCTGTCTCTCTGTCTTTCTCTTTTTCTCTTCCCTCCCTTCCTCTCACTTCTACCCCCTTTTTCTGATATGGCCAATGATCTCTATCTTGAGGGTGTTTACAGTACTAGATGACTAGATATGCTAAAATATTTGAACACTGTAAGCATATAGCATTGCATTTTAAGTTAAACCAGAGATTTCCAAATTTACAAATGTATGCTTAATAATTACATTAACATTTATATATTGAAAAATAAAAATCTAGTGAAATTATGAATTGTTATTAATGTTATACAATAAAGTAAGAAAGTAACTAAGGAGAACATGAAGAATTTCCTATCATGATTCAACTTATTGTTTCACTTTATAGTAGTTTTGTAAGTGAAGCATAGTTATCAGGCACCATGTAATCGAGGGAAAACGTTCAACTCTCTAAAACTAAATGTTGTCAAGCTAGGAGCCTCTGTAAGTATCTTTGCTTTCTCCTACTGTACCAGAATAACTGACGCTAAGTGCTTTATAATGAAAAGATGCTTACTTAAAGTCCTGGAGGCTGAAAGTCCAAGTTTTGTCAGTCTTATCTACTCACTGTCTAGTATGTACACCCTTGCCTACATTACAACATAGTGGCACAGCTGTTATAGAAATGGTAATGTGCTTAAGAGGCCAACTACATGGGCATGAGGTTGCTCTTTTGAGAAGTAACCAGAGTCCTGTGATAAACACATTAATCTCTTCTGAAGACTGAACACTAATGAAGTCCCCAGAGCACAGTGGTGTTATTTCCCAACATGCAATGCAAGTTAAAATCAACACAAAGTTGCAGGTGCTATGTTTTTGATCTGAAATACACGCCCAGGCTCACTTTTTGAACAGAAGTCCCCTTGACTGTGATACTCTTTGAGGGATGGTACTCTTTAGGTGGGGCTAGGCTGTTGGAAGTGGGAAACCAGGAGAAGGCCTTTGAAAGTTAGACCCACTTCTAGTTCTTGCTTCACTCTCTGTGTTCACTGCCTCCCTTCCACTGCCATGGACAGAGTCACTTTTCCTGGCCTTTCCTATCATGATGGTTAAAAATGTGTATAAGCATCAAAGTAATCCTTTCTTCACACAGATGGTTCCTGTCAGGTATTTTATCAGATGAAAAAGTAAATAATGCAACGAGTTCCAGGTATCTTTCAAAAATCTGAGGTGTCTACTATGACCCCCAGACCTAAAGAATCTTAGTAGCAAGGAAGACCCTAGGGAGAATGCTTAACTATCATTCAGAAGGGCAAATAGAATAGACACAGTAAGCGGTAGAAGAGAAGGAACAGCGTGGGAGCCTACCACAGATGTCCTGACTCCACCCAGGAGGGAATCAAAGCAGATGCTGAGACTCACAAACTTTGTCCAGAATGCAGAGAGTCTTATGGAAGAAGGGAGTGTGGTATAGAAGGACCCAAAGGGGACAGGGGCTCCACAAAAAGACCAACAGAGCAACAAATTTGGGCCAGGGGGGCCTGCACAGACTGATGCATCAACCAGGGTCTGTGCATGAAGAGGACCTAGATGCCCTG